TACAGACGGCTATGCTCAGCTCTGAGTTCAAATTGAAGGAAAGATAAATTTCATAATGATCTTTGGAAACACAATGAAACTTTTTTTTTTTTGAGAAGTTGACAAAACAGAATGTTATTTGGACTATTTTTATGTTGATGGCTGTATGGGCAATTATAAGTATCCATAGTGGTTATCTCCCCCAGCCCTATCATCCCTCCTTTCTTGTTTGTTTTACTCTTTTTGTGGTGCTGGGGATCAAACTTAGGGCCTTGCATGCTGTCTACCAATGAGCGATACCCTCAGTTCCCAATGGTCATTCTCTCAAGAGTACTGGGGATTGAACTCAGGTGCACTTAACCACATACCCCAGTCCTATTTTGTATTTTATTTAGAGACAACATCTCAATGAGTCACTTAGTGCCTTGCTTTTGATGAGGCTGACTTTGAACTCACGATCCTCCTCCCTCAGCCTCCCCAGCCAGTTGGATTATAGGCGTGTACCACTGTGCCCAGCTTGTCATTCTCTTAATAGTGATGTGCACCATAGATTTTACTTGAAAATTATAAAGAACTCCTTTACATTTTGAGGATATAAAGATTAACCTTTTCAATTTTTAAAAAAAAAATTATTTGTTCTTTTAAATTGTACATGACAGTAGAGTCTATTTTGTCATATTTATACAAACATGGAGTATGTCTTATTCTGCTTCAGATGCTAGTCTTGTGGATGTACACAWTGTTGAGTTTCACTGTGTTCTATTCATATATGTACATAGGAAAGATGCGTCAGATTTAAACCACTTGTCTTTCCTATTTCTATCCTCTATCCCTTTACTACATTCCCCTTTGTCTAATCCACTGAACTTCTGTTTTTTAATTGGAAATGAGGTTTTGTATTATGAACTCTGGAGAGTTTTTAAAGCTTCTTTTAATAAGTTATAAAGAATTCATTACTAAAGGGAGACAGGGTTTGACAATAGTTTTTTTAATAGATATTGATTTTAAAAAACATGTTTATAGATAAGTAGATAAGAACGGAAGGAGTTTGTTATGACAATACTATTCAACTCTTTGAACTCTGTATTAGTTTCCTGTGGTTGCTATAACAAATTATCATAAACTTTGTTGCTTAAAATAACAGAAAATTTTCTTTTACACCACTAGAGAAATCAGTAACAGTGGGTTGAAATCAAGGTGTCAGCAGGCATGTACTTCTGGGGAAGAGTATATTCTTTGCCTCTTGCAGATTCTGGAGGCTGTAAGCATTCCTTGGCTCATGGCTGCCTTACACTAATCTCTGTCTGCGTGCCTTCTCCTCTTCTGTCTGCACCAAATATAATCCCTCTTTCTTATAAGGACCCTCCTAGATAGTCCAGGAAAATCTCATTTTGAAGATCCTTAATTTGATCACATCTGCAGTCTTTTTTTTTTTCTTTTTCATAGAAGGTGACATTCACAGGAATTCAGATGGAGTTATTTTGGGGGGCTATTATTCATCCTATTGCAAATTCCTTCTCATTATACATTAAAAACTTTAGTAATAAGTCATCAAAATCATTTTAAATAACTTATCATTGACAGCTCAATTACTTCCTTCAATTTKTTTGAAGAATTGTGAAAGAATTTTATAACTAGTCATTAGAGTCATTCRCTTTCTCATCTGACTGCCAGTATACAAAATTGTCCCTTTGTTTGATAGGTTCCAGGGTTTACACCCCAGAGAAGTGTTTCCAAAGTAAGGTTCTAGTCAGATGAGAGATTTGCCATTCTCTGATGAAACAGAATTTTAAAAAATGATATTGGCAGAAGTGTGCTCTTAGGAGGATTCATATTGAAGAGACCCTTGTGAAGTGGATGTACCTCACGCTGCCTGCATTCCCTGAACCCTTAAAAAGTGTTGGTAGACTTCGGGTTTGATGACGGCTGTCCTGGGACATGTCAGAAATCCGAGGAGAGGACAGAGTGAAACCTGTGGAAGAGAAGTTAAAATAGTTCCACAGTCTCCATGGGGATTTGGAACCTGAGCACCTCTGCAGTTGACAGCTGATGAGTTGCAGCAGTGCCAGCTGATCGTGACAGCTGAGTGAGGATGGTTACATACCTGCCAGAGAGCCTGCGTTCTGAAGCAGTCTAGTCTGCAGTGGCCAGCTTGGCTCCCTGTCTCCTAGGACAGAGAAAGCTCACTGTGTATTTTCCTCATTGTCCTTTCTGACTAATTTAACTTCTCTTTGTGATAATCAATCTCACAAACTATGATGCTCTCAAAAGATATCTGCCATATCCCAAATTATTTAATTTACTTATACTGACAAGAATATAGCTTTTATTTAGCATCACATATAGCCATAGTATCTCATCCTCTTTTCTTTGGAGGGGAACTTTAAAATTATTCTTTTGGTTATAATCACTACAATTTATCCCTAGCAAATAGCTTTGAAGTTCAGTAACATAGATCTGCTCTGCAAATYGAGTAGCAGTTTTCACTGAGAACACTGAAAATTATTTATACTAAAGAATGAAATGTACAAGTCTTTTATTGGAAAAGTTTAAAATGGAACATTGCAAAATTAATTTGAGCTACATACTAAATTTAAACATATAACAATATCAGTGTATTTTTACATTACTATGTTTTCTAGAAGTTGCTGAAATAAAATCAAAGATTTGAGCATAATATCTCTTGGTTTCATCAACAATGCTTTAGACCAAACAATGAGAAGGAATTTTAGTTTTGACATTTTCTTTTTTTTGYATTCATATTATATATTTAAGCAAAACAGTTGCAAACATAAATTCTACCCAAATGCTAACATGTATGATATTACACAGCCTCCAGTTCTTTGTCTAACAGTGTATTAGGAAAATAACCGTTATGGAGTTGCTGTGGTTTCCTGAACACCAAATATAAACAAATATGTTTTTGAAATTTTTTTTGTTGTTATTGTTTGTGCTTTTGACAAACCTATAAATACTCCTGCAATATATTTAATCAAGTAATGGAATTCAGAAACTTTTTTTGCATTTGCATATTAAAATGAATAAAAAGAAGTAGAATGAGGTTATTTTTTCTTCYTTAAATATGATATGCAGTGACAGATATCCTTTGTCAATAGAATGACTCCTGACACCTCCCTATAAGTCTTCAATGAGTGCCATTGATGTAAAGAACCAAAGGACAAACTCTTTGGCAAAAGTTTGGTGACCAGCTCGTTAGCTCTGCATGTTGTTTAGGAGACATCCTTGACCTTTTTTGGACTAGAGTGATACGTTTTCCATTGATAAAATTTATGATGCTGGAGACCAAACCCAAGGCCTTGTGCAAAACAGAGAAGTACTCTACCTCTGGCTACATCCTCAACCCTAAAAAATATTTTCAAATACAAAAATAAATCAGTTCACTGTAAATAACTGAGAAATAAACAATAATCTTAAGAATTAAACATAATTATYCATAATTTCACAACACTGAAATAACTTCTGTTAGCATTAAAAATGTCTTTAAATAGTTTTCCTATTTTAACAAACTCTCCTTTTGTTCTCACTTTTGTAGACTGCTTTCTTTTTTATTTTTTTTTTGTGCATAAAAAAAACCCTTGAGTGTTCTTTTTCTTCCCCCCCCCCCCATTTCACTTTATAGATTCCACATAATGTAGGAACATAGGAACTTCCCCAGCTTCCCTTGGCTGTCTTCCCTAAACAGTTTAGCAAATATTTACAKACAGGTTTATACTGACTTTTGTATAGTTTTGTAGATCCTGGAGACACAGTATGTAGTAGGGAAAGAAGGATAAGAACGTTAATATTTGTTATCTCTTAGGTGTGGGTAAACTCCAGGGAAGGAAGATTGGGTGAAGGACAGCAAGTAGAGGTGGGTGGGAGAGATGTGCTTTAAATAGAGGCAYGGGAAGACCTCCCTGAGAAGGTGGTGCTTGAGTGCAGACCTGAAGCACACAGCAAGCAGGCCAGAGGGAGATTGTTGTGGATCTAGGATATGGGAAATGGAAAGGGCCCAAAGTGGCAATGTGCTTGTATGCAGGAAGCAGCCCAGAGGCCAGTGTGCCTTGAGTAGTGTCACTAAAGTGGAATGTTATGGCATAACACAGCAGAGAGCCACCAGAGGACCAGATCCTATAGGGCCTCATAGGCATGGAGTAGTCCTGGATTTTATCCTGAGAAAGAGAGAGAGAAAGCAATTAGGGGTGTCTAAGCCCAGAGAGCAATATGATCTGATTTAATTTAAATATATACTTCTGGGCTGGAAATGTAGCTTAGTGACAGAACACTTGCCTAGCATGTGTGAGACTCTGGGCTGGATCCACAAAAGAGGCCAGAATTAAAGTTTTGACCCTTGGAGGATAAGCAACTTTGCTTTGCTTTTACAAGCAAACTGCCTGTGGCTTATGGAAATTATCCCT